AAAACTCTGAAACCCCTCAGCTTTCTCAGCCTGTCTTTGTGGGGGAGGTGCTCTAATCCTCTTATCAACTTTGTGGCCTCCTGGATTTGCTTCAAGTCTCCCTCCATCTTTCCTGTAGCTCCTTCAGGTACTGGAAGGCCACAATTAGGTCACCCTGAAGCTTCTCTTTTCCAGGCTTAACAATCCCAATTCTCTCAGCCTTTTCTCACAGCAGAGGTTCTCCATCCCTCTAATCATCTTGATGCCTCCTCTGGACTCACTCCAACAGTTCCATGTCCTTCCTGTCACCCCCAGGCTCCTTGTGCCAAACCATCCTCCCTGAGCAGGGAGCATCCTTGTGCACATGGGTAGACCCAGCCAGGTCCCCTCAGCCGTGTCACACAGACTGTCTGGGGCTGCAGAACAGACCAAAGCCACAAGCCCTCCAATGCTCCCAGACCCAAGGGACCTTCCCCACCACCCACATCCCTGGATAAAACCACAGCATCACAACACACAGCCACTTCCTTGCAGAGCAAACTCCACACACACATACAGCAAACAGCCTTCAACTCTGTTGGTTTTTTTTCTTCCCTCCCCAAATTAAATTTTCATTTAAATGATATGATTTAGAGCTCTTAACTCAATTTTTCCCAAGCCTGGGGCAGGCTGGAACAGCAGCATTTCCACACTCTGACAGTTTGACACCAACAGCAGCACAAAGCAGCTTGTTCTTCAAATCTCCAGTTTGATCTAAATTAAAAGCAGCAAAGACTTTGGCGTTAACCAACCTGTCAAAAGGCATTAAAAATGAAATGCCTGCCAGGCCTTGGCTCCCTACCTGCACCCCATGCCCTCTGATTACCTGCCCTGCCAAACCCAGCTGACAAACATGTCCCCCAGGAGGTCTCTCCATCCTCGCTCATAATTTCCCCCGTGCTAACCCCAAATTTCACCATTTCTTGAAGATTTATTTACATTTCAATCAAGCTGGAGCTCCTCAGCCATATGATTCCCCAATAAATGCAGAATGCTGGATTAGTTCTGGTTCACTGGGGTGCTGGGGCTGCCTCCTGCTCCTTTCCAAAGGATCAGAGCAGACACAGCAATGCTCCCCCCTTGCTCCCAAGCACCCACTGACCTACGTTGGGAAATTCCCTGTCATCACCCATCTCCCTCTGAGCATTAAGAGCTTTGGAAAGGAGAGGTGGAAAACACAAATAATCCATCAATCACCTCTCTTCAGCCTTGAGGTTTTTACAGCCTATTTAAGGAGGAGAGTTGTAATTTTGCTGGCAGGCTGAGCACTCTCCAGGGCTGGATGCTCCAGCTGAGATTGATATCCAGGAGAGGAAACCTGGAGCTTCCCCTCTCCCCCCTTGCTAAGCTGTTTTCTCCTTGAGGGATTTCACTCCCCTGCTGCTCCAAAGACAGGATTAAGGATTTACATACAGGTGTGATACCAGCTGGAGCTGCAGGGGCTCAGCCCTCACCGTGGCCCTACGGCTCCCAGTGCTCCCAGCACCACCAATCCCTTCTGCACTGGGAGCACACTGAAGCTGAGACCCTATTTCCTGCCAAGGAAAGCCTAAGTCACATTTTCAAGGCATGCTGAAACAAAGCAAGGAAAAGCCAGGACAATGGGGACTCACAGCACTGCTCCACCCCTAGAAGTGTTCCAGGCCAGGTTGGATGGGGCTTGGAGCAACCTGGGCTAGTGGAAGGTGTCCCTACCCATGGCAGGGGTGGGATGAGATGAGCTTTAAGGTCCCTTCCAACCCAAACCATTCTAGGATTCTCTGACCAGCCCCAACCTGGTTTATCAGGGAGTTCACCATGTTCAGGAACAACTCTGGACCAGGCTGTTTCCTGGTAGAAATACAGAGAAGCCTCCTACCTCCCACTCATCTCAGACACAAGGAGACAGAATAAACTTTAAAACCATAAAAATCAACACCAGTCCCAGCCAGAAAAAAGCACTACGGCAGCATTAAATCAGCCATTTGTTTGTCTGCCCACAACTATCAGCTCCTAAAGCATCTCTGGCCATAAGAAGTTTGTGGGATGGAGAGACCTCAGCCCATTTTGCAGCCATGAGACATCCTGAGCATCTCAAGTGCTGTTATAGCTGTCTACACACAGACATCACGTGCCTCTCCAGGCATTTAGATCATGGCAATAGGATATAAATATCTTATAGCTCTGAAAATGCTTTTGCACAAGGCTCCACAATAGACCTCAGCTCTCCCTTCTCCCTTGGGTGGCCAATCTCAGCACCTAAAAAGCACTTTCTCTTCTCAGTTCCATGTCTGCTTTGCCAAGGAAAACATGCTATTTTAGGTAATTCGAGTATTTACCTGGTTCTTGGAAGTGCTCTTCATTTGACAGGGTTCTGGATAAGATGAGGATAAGTGCTTCTTTGAACTGATCAAAGTGGACCTGTGGAACCAAAAGGAAGGAAAGAGGAAAATCAGCTGGTGCAGACAGTTAAACATGAGGCCAGTAATGCAGCAGGAAGATGGGCAGCAATGAGAATCACTCAGACCACCACATTGAAACATGAGTGTGCCTGCTGACAACAAAGGAACCTCAGCTGGTTCCGTCTCGGAGCCTGGAGAAGTGACAGTAAGGGACATGAAGACACAGCAGCATCTTTGGGCATGTGAAAAAATTACTACTATCACAGAATGACCCAAAGCCACTGAGTTCATGCATGGGTTGGGTTTTTCCATCAAGCAAGAAGCCAAAAAAACCATGTCCAGAGGAGCAGGGAGCATCTTCATGGCTTGAGGTGACCTGGTCAGAGACAGTGGCCCCTCCAGCAAGATACCAGCCCTGATCAGGGATGAGATACTCCGTTGTTGAAATGCTCCACTGCCCTAAGCTTCAAAAGCCACTTTCCAAAGCTGATGACAGAAAAATTACACCCTTTCCAGGGCAGCCCTGCCCAACTCCTGTAGTTTCATGAGGGCTGGACTGGGAATAATAGGTCTGGAGTGGGGCTATGGGGAAAAAAACCACAGAGGGATGATTCTGCCACTGAGATTCCCCCCCCCCCCCCCCCCCTACCTGAAAAGCCTCTTGCCTCACAGCCACAAACAGTCACAAAGGGGCTCCAGCATCCTTCCCAGCCATGCCGGGGAATGTCAGCAATTCCAGCCGTGGGGGACAAGGAAACCCAGGGACAGCTGGAGAAGCTATTTGACATGGGTCAGTGGTGAGGCAGAGCTGGCTGCTACGATTTCTTTTGGCTAAATAAATCTTAGCAGCATTTTTAGCATGGAAGAAGAGATTTTGTATTTAAAGAACCTACTGAGGTTGCTCAGCCTGGCACAGTGAGAATCCAGAGCTGCAGTCAGAGGGGCATTTAATGCTGCTGAGGGAGGCACAAGCAACAAAGGTCATGTCTGAAGTTATCCAGCTTGTTCTCAGGGTTGAATCAGCCCCCCCAAAAACAGCCAACAAGCTCCCTGGCAGGAGCACACAGCCGAGCTGGGGATTCAATCATGGAGTGCAGGGGAGCACCTCATGCCACAGCTCAGGCAGTGCCAATCATCCCTAAGGTTTTAAACATGGGTTTTAAACACAATTAAAAATATCCTCAGCAAAGTAACTTGTAAGGAATGCCTTCACCTGAATACTAATTGCTGCCATCCATTCCCAAACACTGGTGTACTTCCAAAGGACAGTTTACAGACACAGGAGAATTTCCACGATTAAAAAAACCCTTGACATTTAGACTGAATGAGGATGAATAAAAGATGAGGGTGTTCAAATAACAAGTTCCCTCCCCATGGGATCTTCTCAGGAAGGAACAGTGACAATAGACAGAGCCAGCCCCTGGGATAGGTGCTGGGGATGGGTTTGGATGGAACTTGATGGCAGCAAGAAAACAAAGTAAAATTCACTTTGCATCACTCATGCAAACAGAGTTAAACAGCAGAGAAAAAACACCTGGGCAGGTGTGTAGCACCACTGATACATCCCCTGCTCTGCCCAACAAGCCCCACAACTCATGCTTGCACTGATGCAGAGGAGGAAGGACCAAGGAAGGGCTGAGCCCTTGCTGTCACAGCTCACACGGGGCAGATGGCACAGCCACAGAGCGATTTCACCATGACCACCACATCCAAAGGAGCCCAATGAAGATTAGGCTGTGGGGGCAGGACGTGGCCATCCCTCCAGCCCCCCCTGCCAGCACCATGCTTGGCTGCACAGCAGGATTTAAAATGCAAATCAGCAGTGCAGGGACAGGCACAGGGGGTTCCCCAAAGAAAGGGCCTCACTTTGGAGGTTTAGCCCAGTCTGGGAGAGGAGGGAGATTTTTCTTCTCAGTGGGACAGAGGTTCTTTTAATACCAGATAACCAGGAAAATCAGTCGGTGGTGCACATTTGACCTTGGGTGTTGCATGTCCACACTCAGAGTGCTCAGAGAGTTAGAGAAATATAACTGATAAAATTAGAGTACAAGCAGCCATGCGACAGCAAGGACATACACACTGCAGAAATCCTTGAGAAAGGTGCTGAGGCACTGGCACAGGTTGCCCCGAGAAGCTGTGGCTGCTCCATCCCTGGGAGTGTTCCAGGCCAGGTTGGATGGGGCTTGGAGAAACCTGGGCTGGTGGAAGGTGTCCCTGCCCATGGCAGGGGTGGAATGAGATGAGCTTTACGGTCCATTCCAACCCAAACCATTCTGGGAGTCTATTACTCCATTTTGAATCTGCCAACTTGCGATCTGCTCGCGGGGCTCTCAAACAGCAACTCCAGGCTGAACACAGTGGAGTTTGGGATGTAATGGCACATTTATGCCCACCCAGAGATACAGCTCAGGGACAGAACACACAGCTCTGCAAACCCCACAGCGAGCACAGCACTGCAGAGAGCCCTGGGGGCACAGCAACTCCCCAGTGAGGAGAATTCTCCCACAACAAGTACATCAGAGGCAAACAGGACTAATCCAGAGGCACAGCCAGCCCATGGGAATTAGGGACCAACCAGGCTGCTGAGCAACCCCAGCACCTTCGAGAAATCCCGAGGTCAGCTTTGCAGCCTCATCCCTCTGAAGCTGTGACTTATTAGCACTAGAAAGAGCTTGTGCATGTGCCAAGGTACCTGCTGCTTCCCGCTGTTTGGCCCTGCCATGCAAAGCAGTTTGCACACCCTGTCTCTCTGGGGCAAAGCAGCATCCATGGCTCCTTCCAGATCCCTCTCCCTGATCTTCAAGCAAAGCCTTTTTTCCCCCTGAAGCCCTGTCCCTGCTTGTTAACTCCTTCTAGCAGCAGCAGCCAAAAGGTTGCAGAGGGAAGTGTCTAGTGGGGAAGATATAGAATCATAGAATGACCTGAGCTGGAAGGGATCCCCCCAAGGATCATCAGTCCAACCCTTGTCCCTGCCCAGGACACCCCAACAATGCAACCTGTGCCTGAGAGCATTGGCCAAACCCCCCCTGAACTCTGTCAGGCTTGGGGCTGTACCCACTGCCCTGGGGAACTGTTCCAGTGCCCAAACACCCTCTGAGGGAAGAACCTGTTCCTAATATCCAAGTAACCTTCCCCTGGCACAGCTCCATGCTGTTCCCTCGGGTCCTAACAAGGCAATCTTGCAATAACACCAGAACAGGGCAGCCTTGCCACCAAGTTTCCTGCCTGGTATGCAAAAACCCGCTGTGCATTAAGGGGAACAGCATCACTGTGGGCACAGAGGGAGGATATTTTGCAAGAGGTCAGCAGCCACAGCACTGAAGGGAGCTGACAAGTGAAACCCCATGCCATGGTGTCCTTGCTGCAGGCTGCTAATGCAGTAGTGCAGGTGAAACCTGAACTCCCCATCCCTGCTCAAGGGCAGCGCCAAGGATAGTCCCTGTGCAGGGTCCAGAGGTGCTCACAACTTCATAGAATCCCAGACTGGTTTGGGTTGGAAGGACCTTAAGGCCCATCTAGTTCCAACCCTCTGCCACGGGCAAGGACACCTATTAGCTTAGGTTGCTCCAAGCCTTGTCCAGCCTGGCTTTGAACACTCCCAGGGATGGGGTATGATTTCCAGGGACTTAACCCTGTCCCTGTGCATCATCTAACCACAGCCATCGCTGCAGCCCATGAGTTTGCTGCTAATTAAAGGGCAGACCTTCTGGAAGGGCAGACAGACACGCCTGCATGTGTCCTCTTGCTCCTGCCATCAAGCGTGAGGGGCTCAAGGATTCCCAGGAATTGCTGCAATCACACAAGGAAAACACTTCTGGGGTGGTTTGGCTGTGCTGGGAGTCAGAGCAGGAGGACTTACACCCCCATCAGACCCCATTAATCCCCAAAGCATCACAGGGGAGGCAGCACATGCAGCCCCTCACCAGAACCCAGCTCAGCTCCTGGTCCAACCAAGCAATCCCTTCCCATGGCACAGGGTTGGAACAGGATGATCCTTTCAAGTCCCTTCCAACCCAAACCATTCCATGACTGATCACAGAGCATTCATCCCTGGAGCAGAGCCCCCAGCACAAAGGCAAGCACGTGGCCCCACTGAGTTGCCCCTCAGCAGACAAAACCATCCCCCGCTGCCCCCCTTCCCGGTGCCCTGCCATAAATCCCAGCCTCTGGAAGGGCAGGCAAACAAAGGGCTGGGACCATCTGCAGCAAGGAGCTAGCAGGGCAGGTGCAAGAAGTCTGTGCTCAGGGAGCAACATGTTTGCTGCTATTCTCCCCATGAGCTTCCTAGGAAACCCCAAGGATCCGATGGCTATTAAATCCAGCTCATGCTTCGGCATGGGCCATTGCTGCTGGTAACGAGCAGGAACGCCAGGGAGGTGGGAGGAAATGCAGGAGACAAAGATTATCCTGACATTCGAGTGGCAGGTTGTAAGGGACAACCACTCCTGAAGACAAAGGAGGGAATGAAATAAGACAGGATGCCTCGTGTCCTGGGACAGCTCACAGGGATGGAGCTCCCAGCTGGGATGGGGATGATTTAACAGGAGCTTGGTGCCCTGATGAGCTGTGAGAGCCACAGCTTTAGTACTGCCCTTCCTTTCCCTCTATCCCACAGGCAGCAAAGCCAGATGAAAAGACAAGGGGAAAGGGTGTTAAGTTCAAGTAAGGTAGATGTAGATCAGATGTCAGGAAGGAATTCTTCCTTGTGAGGGTGCTGAGGCACTGGCACAGGTTGCCCAGAGAAGCTGTGGCTGCTCCATCCCTGGGAGTGTTCCAGGCCAGGTTGGATGGGGCTTGGAGCAACCTGGGCTAGTGGAAGGTGTCCCGGCCCATGGCAGGGGTTTGAACTGGATGAGCTTTAAGATCCTTCCAACCAAACCATTCCGTGACTCAATAACAGCATCCAAGCAGCCTAAGCTCAAGACAAGAGAGCAGCACATGAAGTCTCTTGTGCTCCAGCAAATACCACTCTGCAGCTCCAAAGGTCAGAAACCTCTGTCTGGATCCATCCCTGCTCCTGCTCCAGCACCACTCACTGTCAGCAGAAAAGCTACAGCCCCAGGGCAGGTGAGGAAGAGGAGGCTTTGTTCATTAAAGGAATTATTAAGTTTGTGAAAGCTGCAGTTTGATCGGAAGTTGGTGTCAGGATGACTGCTTAGCTCATGTCTATCAAGAGCCCTGGTTGCCCTGCTCCACATTTGCTGATTTTAATGAGCAGTGATAGGATTTCAGGGTGATTTTGAGGGAAGCATCTAATGAACTCTGAGCACAGTGTGCTGGGAAAGACATAACGCAGAAGCACAAGGACATCCATGCTCAATGTGGAGATCTCCCCAAGGGCAAGCAGCTTCTGCTCAGTGCCCTGGCATTTAACTCTATAAAGGTACAACCACAACCAAAAAAATGGCTTTGGAAAGCCACCAACACCAGGTAATGTGGACAAAGGTGACTCAGTCAACAACTGCCCAAGTTGGACGATATTCTCTATCCTAGAGAAACGTGCACATCGGCACACAGCCCTGCCAGACTAACTACAGCTTAAGCCAATGTAAATCACAGGCTCAAGCCCTGGATTTAGGTCCCCATCACATCCCAAGTGCCACAGAGTTTGTGCAAACACCTGGTGAGCTGGTTTGGGGAGATGACCCAGGCCAGCAGCAGCACGAACCGGTGCCAGGGGACACAGGGACTATGTGAGCTGAGTGCTGGCACCAGTGCCAGGGCAGACTGGATCTAGCACTTGATCTGGTCTTGGGCACTGGGAAAACATACCAATGCACAAGGCTAAGCCTGAAGTGATGGTGTCTGAATTTCAGACCACCTCCAGTCAGGGCAGACACACCAGAGAGCAGTTCTCTTCCCAGTTATCCCTGATTCTCCTCTCAGAAATCACCCTGTACCCACCCTGCTCAGACCCCACAAGTCCTGCAGCCCCAGAGCCTCAGGGATGTTGGATATTCACAGCTTATAGGCATTCAACCTCTTTCCAAGACCATTCCATGCACACACAGCAGTAGCTGCCCAGTGCTGCCTTGCACCCCAGCCCCTTATTTCCCCCCACCATCACCCCAGCCTTACCCTGCCTAGGAGGTTTCCTTGAAGGAGGGTCTGTTGCAGTGCTGGGGCCACCTCCTCCAGGTGCAGCATGTGGCAGAGGTCAGTGAGCTCCTCCTGCCCCAGGGACCCCGTGCCTGTGCTGTCAAAGCTGTCGAAGAGCTCCTTGAGGCGAGCTTCATACTGGTCCTGCTCAGCTTCATCCATCCCATAGCCTGCCACACTCACCTGCAGGGAGAGACAGGGCAGGTGAACATTGACCACAGTGCCCACGGCATGCAGAGGAGAAGAACCCCAAGGGCTGGTACAGAGGCTGCTCACAAGGGTGTTTGTGGCTGTGTTTGTTAGCATTAAGCAAAGCTGCTGCTCCACCACTGCTCCAGCCTCTTCCATCCCACCTGCAGAAGCTCAGAAGTCACACAGCAGAAATACCAAAGGGAAAAAGCCTGCAGAGCCAAACCCTCCAGTGGGGACAGCTCAGGTGGCTGGGACAGTCCCATGTGGCACATCCCTACGTGCCACCTCACACTGACTTCACAAGCAGCTTATTTGGCTCAGCTGGAGCAGCTGAAGTGCTGCAGGGGAAAATTGTTCCCTTGAGCTCCACTGATCCCCAGGTGTTGCAGGTGATGCTTTGGTGAGAAGATAAACAACCATCCCAGCAGCAACAGCTCAGCAGCTGCAAGGAGCAAAGCAGCTTTGCCTGTGGTGGGAGGGCAGGAGGCTCCAACCTGAACCCTTCAGGCCAGCCAGCAACCCCCTCCACCAACACAACACACATCTGTGGCAGGGATAGAATCACAGAATCCTTTAGGCTGGAAAAGACCTCCCTGATAAGAGTCCATCAGTTAACCCAGCACTGCCAAGCAGTCCCTACACTGCTCTCCTTCAGGTACTTCAGGTCAAACCCTGGCTGAGGGCAGAGAAGGGTTTGACAGGGGACACTGCTAAGGTGACAGCACACTCAGCCCCAAACCAGGCTGACCCCAGCACGGAGACAACTGGAACATATCCTGTCTCCAGCAAACAAAGGCCAGGTGGCTCCCCCCCACTTGCCTCAGGGCTTCATCCTTCTCTCCAATCAATTTTTCATCCCTCTCATCCACTTCTAACAGAGGATCACAGCCCCAGGAGCTGTTCTGGCAGGGGAGTAGAGGGAAATTTCCTGTCTGACATGAAGGATTTGGCTGGCATCCGCTTACCAGCCTGGCCTGGGGCTCCCTGCCAGCTTGGGGTGGCAGCAGTGTCACAACACAGCCTTGGTGTGGATGTGCCACCACCCTGGGGGCACAACAGATACTGGCACCATCATCACTGGGGTGCACCAAGTGGCAATGGGCACTGCAGGGACATGGTGTCCCAAGGACCCAACTGGGCATCCTGGGATGCTCAGCCAGCCTCAGCCGTCGCCCAAGCACCAGATATCCATGTGAGATTTGTTTTCGTGATGCTGCTGCAGGTTGTTTCAGCCAGATTTCTCAAAAGTGGGGTCCTATCCCAAACCCTCTCACCATGCAGCCCTGCTAGGGAGAAGCCTCTCCTCTTCTCCCCGTTGGCACCACAGGGTTCTTGTGGCTGACTGTGCCACCAGCAGCACTCACAGACATCCCAGAGCTGCTCCAACTGCAGCCCAATTTCACTCCCTGCCCACCACTGCAGCCCAACAACTGGGAATTGTCCAGGGCAGACACTGCAGCAGGCATGTCCTTGATTCCACTGGCTGCAGGAACAGATGCTGAGGCAGAGCAGCCCTGGGATCCCACATCTGCTGAGGGATGCAAGGTTGGTGCCAGGCAGCACACAGGGTCCATGGGACATGAACTGCACAGCCCAACTCTCCTTCCTCCTGCACTGACACAAAGATGACCACGGACACTCAAGAGAGTGGATATAAACCATCCCCACATCACTGTACCTGAGCCTCACACCCTGTTCTGTCCCCCACAGATCCTTCCTGAGCTGATTTCTCACAGCACCCAAGTGCTGCAGGGAGAAGGGAGAGTGCAGACACATTTGCATTCAACTCAGGGCACAGAGGAGGAGGCAGCACCCAAAAACTCAGGTGCCTGCAAGCAGGAAGAAGGTAACAAACTCGTTTCCATTCTCACATCAGCAACCCCATTTCCCATCTGCACCCACAGGGCTTGACAGCAGCTGCTGCTGCATCCTGGTGTCAGGGGAGCCCTGCCAGCACACCCCAGCAGCCCCAAAACTCACAGCCAAACCTGCAGTGAAGGTGACTCCAACCCAGAGATTCCCAGGCATTTCAAGCCTCTTATCTTCAGGGTCAGCCACCTCCTGCCCTCAAGATATGTCTCCAGCACCTGACCCTACTTCCACAGCGCCAGAACCAGTTTCCCCAGTCAGACAGCACGGAGCTAAGTACCACTTCCCAAAGTATCCCCAAGCATCCATGCTGATGGAGCATTGGGCTCACCCCTCTTGCTGCCACACCAGCATGAAGCCCCAAAAACTTACCCTGAGCAAATCCAAGTGGGCTGGGGGAGGAGGCATAAAACCAGCAAGAAAAACACAATTCCCAAAGGAAAAGAGCTGCCTGGGGCCAGACCTGCCTTACAGCCCAGGTGAGGTTTTGGTGAGGGCACAGTGGCTCACACATCCCCACGGCGAGGGATGGCTGGAGCTCACGGTGCTCGGTGGGACACATCCAGCCCTGCACAGCCCAGGGAAGGGGTTTCCTGCTTTCCAGCATGAAAAGCACAAGGAATAAAAAGCAAAGGAGAAGGCTGTTTGCCTACCTGCAGTCAGTCAATGACAGGGAGCTGCCAGCAGCCAGGCGATCCCGCACGCATCCTGCACAACCTCCATCTTAGGCAGTCGGCTCCGGCACGCAGCCGGCTGCGCAAGGTGACCCAAGATGCCTACTCCCAGCTGAATTATTCATCAGAAAAAAAACCACCCAACCCTCCTACCTGATGAGCTGGTGAGGCTGCTTGGCATCACCCAGCAGTCAAAATAATGAGGTCAGCGGCATCAGAGCCCCAGCGTGCGCAGCCACCTCCTGCACCCGCGCGCCGGCCACGGGAGACTGGCAGCAGAGAAGGGGCTGGGAGGGGAGGGGGACACACACAAGAGGCACACAAAGCCCGAATTAAAGCCCAGCCTTTCAGCCCTGCTCCAGATGGGCCAGCAGCTGAGGTGCAGGAGGACGGGCAGAGCCGGTGGGATAATAGGGGCAGCCGCTGAGCGAAGAGGAGAGGGGCTGGTCCCTGTGCAGAGCATCACTTTGTTCAGATTTATTGCTGGCCTTCTGGGTCGTTTCAATTCCCCCCAAATGACCAACTTGAGCAGACAGCACTGAAAAGTGCAGATTTAGGAGAGTCACGTCATTCCTTACGGCTCTTCACCCTGTAGCAAGTCCAGGGAAGCAAAGCGCTCAGGGGTGATAAGAGGAAGTTTTCACCGGCATTACTTTCCTGCCTTTAAATCCACCCACTCCAGAGAGCCAGATAACCTTCACAGCACACAATGTAGAGGTCTAACAGGACTACATTCTCAGATAAATTTAACTCAAACAATATAGGCTTAAACAGTAATTACCACTTCGCATATTAAGTGCCTGGAATCAATATCAACCCCCAAGCTTTAGCCTGCAGCTAATAAAGACACAGATTACCTGGTCAATCAATGGCATCAACAAGTAAAACACGATAATTAGCACAATTACCTTTTTTTTTGAGGCGTGAAAAGCAGTAAGAATCCTAGAATGTCTTGGGTCGGAAAGGATCTTAAAGACCACCTGGTAAAACTCCCCTGCCATGGGCAGAGACACCTCCACAACACAAAGTGTTATTGTTTGTGACCAACACAATCACATTTGCTGCTGTGCAGCAGCATAAAACGGAGATTTTGGGAATGCTCTGCCCAGATATCCCCACAGATGTTATCACCAACCAGGGCAATGGGTACCCTGCCCTCCACAGTGGTTTCAGGAAGGCATCACCTTCAAGGGACAACGAGGAAATCGCTGCTTGTGCTGCTACTCTTGATCACCTGGACTCAAACGAGGGCCTGGCAATTAGCAGAGCAGAACCCTGTGGCCGCCTCCAAAACACAAGCACCTGCTCCCTGGGATGTCACCACTTGGAACCAGCCACCTGTGCTGGAGAGCACAGCCATGTGTGGGCAGGTTTAAAGCAACTTTCCCTTCCTGCTGCACTTGTTCCAATCGGGATGATGTGAATGCAGCTGGCAAAACCCACCAGGACCCCTGTTTTTAATGGGGGTGGTGGTTATGTGAGATGACCAGCAGCTACCAAAACCAGACCCTTGAGCTCTTCCTGGAAAAATAGAGCTGAGGTTGTCTCAAACTCATTATCTCCTTCTCCTAATGAACCATCTCATCCATCGCAGCTGCAGCTAAGCGATGGATGAGGAATCATAGAATGACCCCCAAGGATCATCAGTCCAACTCCTGCCTTGCACAGGACACCCCAACAATGCACCCTGTGCCTGAGAGCATTGGCCAAACACTCCCTGAGCTCTGTCAGCCTTGGGGCTGTGACCACTGCCCTGGGGAGCTGTTCCAGTGCCCAAACACCTCTGGGGGAAGAACCTTTCCTTAATATCCAGCCTAAACTTTACACAGCTTCATGCTGTTCCCTCAGGTCCTACCACAGGTCACCAGAAAGCAGAGCTCTGTGCCTGTCATTGCATAGACCCCCAAACCCCCATACCGTGTCGAGGCGATTTCCCAGCTCAGCTCACCCTGTGACACCCCATCCCCTTTTGGGAGCAGCAGCTTCACAAAGGGTCACACCAAGAAACCAAAGAGAAGGGGAAAAACAAAACCCAAAAGGACAATGAAGCACCCAAATATCAGTAAATCACTTGACAGCACGCCTGGCTCTTCAGGGGTCAGCACCAGAGTCAGCCTTACAGCTGGCAGCTCCTCCTCCCCATTGACCACGCTCCTAATATTCACTTTACACCTCGATGCCACCTCCCCCGTGCACCCCGAAACACCCCAAAGTTGGCAGAGAACAGCAATTCTGTTAACCAAGCTCCACTCCAGATTAGCAAAGCAGCGACGGCAGAGAAAAGCACTATAAATTTATGTAAAGAGCTTCAAAAAGCAGCGCAGGGGTTTGAATATTCACGCCAGCCCGGTATTTGCATTGTAATAGGGCTTTTCACTCCCAGCCTTCCCTCCGTAAGGAGAAACAAAGCGCCCATCTGGTTTGATTTTGCAAATCGGGCTGGAGTCGCTCGGCAGTAAGTCGGGGAGCCCCGGGTGCGATAAAGCCCAAGGTGGAGGCACAAAGCTGATTATTTCAGGAGTAAACAAAGCGAGCCGGTAATTTATCCAGCGGCGCCGGGAAATGAGGGAT